CAAAAACTAAGGTGTGTCTTATACTCCGGTGCGTCTTATACTCTGAAAAATACGGTACATCAACAGAAAAGAGTCGTCCATCTAAATCTGAAGGCCAGACTTACGGTTGGGCAAAAAGAAGCTATATTGTACATACTCTTGGATCTTCATCTTGGACTCTTACTTTTTGTGAAAATGTATTGGGAGCATTTTGACACAAGACCCTTGAATTTTAGTTTGAAACCCAGTTTCCTATGATTCATCCATAGTTCACCTTAATTATTTCAAAGGACTCTCAGCTACACAGTGACTTATGCCCTTGATAACTGTTCGTATCTACCTATGTTTGAACAAACCTGGACTTACAGCAGGAGATAAGCAGTCTCTACTGAGTTACTCCTGGGAACAAACCTTTGCTCCTTCTTTTGCTAACCAATAGCATTGTAGTGTAACGGATTAATTAAGTTAGCACTTCCCCAGCGTATATTTAACTTGATAGAATATGTGACAAATGTTGAAAGCTGAAAATTCTATAGGCCCAACCCAAAAATGGATTTCCTGCACTGTTTTTAAGAAATATCCTACGGAGAAAAGTTGGTGTGTGTTGAATGTATGCAGGTGGGGAAATTGCAAATCTGTGTGAACATATTTATTTTATTGTTAGAAAAAGATTAAACCTGACATTCAGGGCCCACCGTTCTGAAAAGAGTACGAAATGTATAATATCATTGCAGGTGTCTCGGAAGTTTTGGAAATTCATGGCTGATTTTTTTCTCTGTAGTAATACGTAGAAGTCGTGTGGGATTGAGGGATATGTGTGAGAAAAAGAGAAAGAAGGCAACAGTCATACTTTGACTTTCCAGCTGGACCAATTCCTGCAGTGGCTCCTGGCAAAGATTGCTGCCATGCAGACTTAAGTCCAGATTCAATTAGCCTCATATCCTGAAAGCTTCATGTGGATTTCCCGCCCCCCCTCGCCCTCCCCCCAGTGGCCAGATGGTGGCTTTTGTTCTTTCCACATCCCTGATGGGAATCAGAAAATAAATTTATCAACCAAATTATGTTTTCTTCCTACTGTGGTGGCCTTTGAGCAGACTGCTGATATTATTATGCAGCTGATGTCATGGGTGATGCCAGATGACAATAGAATAGAATAGAATAGAATTCTTTATTGGCCAAGTGTGATTGGACACACAAGGAATTTGTCTTGGTGCATACGCTCTCGGTGTACATAAAAGAAAAGATACGTTCATCAAGAATTATAAGGTACAACACTTAATGATAGTCATAGGGAAACAGTCAATATAAATCGTAAGGATACCAGCAACAAGGTTACAGTCATACAGTCATAAGTGGAAGGAGATGGGTGATAGGAACGATGAGAAGTATAGTATAGTAATAGTAATGCAGCCTTAGTGAATAGTTTTTTTTTTTTTAAATTTGATTTATATGCCGCCCTTCTCCGGAGACTCAGGGCGGCTTACAATGCGTTAAGCAATAGCCTTCATTCTTTTGTATATTTTATACAAAGTCAGCTTATTGCCCCCACAAACTGGGTCCTCATTTCACCTACCTTAGAAAGGATGGAAGGCTGAGTCAACCTTGACAGTTTGACAGTGCTGAGGAAATTATTTGTTTAGCAAAGTGATGGCGTTCGGGAAAAACTGTCCTTCTGTCTGGACTATTGTAACGCTCTCTACATGGGGCTCCCCTTGAGGAGCACCCGGAGGCTCCAACTGGCGCAGAGTGCGGCCGTGTGGGTGGTAATGGGAGCGACATGGCGTTCCCAGGTAACACCCCTCCTGCGTGAGCTGCACTGGTTCCCGGTGGTCTTCCGGGTGCACTTCAAGGTTTTGGTTATCACCTTTAAAGCACTCCATGGCTCAGGACCTGGGTACTTGCGGGACCGCCTACTACCACCAATAGCCTCTCACCGGCCGGTACACTCTCATAGAGAGGGGCTCCTCCGGGTGCCGTCGGCCAAACAATGTCGACTGGTGGCTCCCAGGGGGAGAGCCTTCTCTGTGGGGGCACCTACTATCTGGAACGAGCTCCCCCCGGAGATACGGAGGATCCCGGATCTGCGCACCTTCCGCCGCGCTCTAAAGACCTTTTTATTTCACCAGGCGGGCCTGGCCTAACTTTCTCCCTCTTTTTAAACATTTTAATATTTTTAATATTTTTTAGTATTTTTAATATTCAAAGTTTAGATTTGTTTTAAATTGATTGGGGTTTTAAATCTGTCTGGGCCAAACTATTTAATTCAATTTTATCTCTGCTTTTTAAATTTTGTATGTATGTATTTTATTGTTGGCTGTTCACTGCCCTGAGAATCAAATAAAAGTAAAGTAAAAGTAAAGTAAATGTTCTGGTGTGCAGTGCTCTATAGCATCATTTTGAGGGTTTATATCTAGGATGCGAGGGATCTGTAAATATTTTCACAGCCCCCTTTTTGACTTGTGCAGTATACAGAATCTCATCATCATAGGGGAGCCCAAACTATCTGTGACAGAAGCCAATATCCTTGCCATGCACACTGAGAGGCATAGAGGAAGTTTTTCTAAATGGGAGCTGGCCCAATCAATCGGGCTCTGTTAATTTAGAAATATTCAGAAGTATGTAGCTTATTCTACTTGGAACGTCCTTTTCTGTGCTCTTTGACCAAGTAGATTTGAAAGTTGATCTGCCACACTGGTCATGCAAACCTTTCTCTCTGGTTTGGTCCTTAAGTACTAAACCATCTTTTTTTAAAGATGGAGTTCAAAGCTTCTCTTCCTTGTCTAAAATGTTGATTGATATCTCCTGGTTTTTTTTTTTTTAATTTAAAGATAATAGCAACAGCAATAGCACTAAGACTTATATACCGCTTTATAGTGCTTTACAGCCCTCTCTAAGCGGTTTACAGAGTCAGCATATTGTCCCCAACAATCTGGGCCCTCATTTTACCCACCTCGGAAGGCTGGAAGGCTGAGTCAACCTTGAGCCTGTTGAGATGTGAACTGCCAAATTGCTGGCAGCCGATGATCAGCAGAAGTAGCCTGCAGTACTGCACTCTAACCACTGCGCCACCACGGCTCATGGTGTGTTAATTGAGCTTCAGTGACTGAATTCATAATTTAATCTAAGGAATATTAGCCAGGTCCACATACACTGCCTTAAACTGCAAATAAAATGGCTGATGATGACTTGGTGTTACGTGTGGACCAGTTCTGCATATCCTTTAGCAATACAAACTATTATTTAAGCATGTTATTTATATCTGGGGTTCCTAAATAGCATAGGGCTACTTTCTATTTCAGTATCTGTTGAATCGCAGTTCACATGCTACCTATTTATCCAGAATTTATTCGGGCATCCACGTCAACCATTGAAGAATCCCTAGAAAAAGTTTGTGTTGACTTTGAGCTTTGACCGAAGACTTTGGTTTCGATTTTCAGCCAAGAAAATATAATGCACTTTTGGCATTGGCTGGCAATTCTCTAAAGTGGTTTGAATTCAATGTGAGGAGCAGTTTGTTCCAGGGAGTAGAAGAAAACATTTCCAGAGCACAGAAAAGGATACTTTGATGGTTCTTTATGAACCATTCACGAGGGTTACAGGAAAGCTTGGAAGAGTCTCATTTGTATTGAACCCCCACTATCAGCTATACAACGTAACTAAGTTATAAAAGACATGAAAAGAAATATTAGAACTCTGTTTTATTGAGACTGGCTATATAGGGTATAAGAAGGATGTGGTGGCTCAATGGCTAGGATGCTGAGCTTGTTGATCGAAAGGTCGGCAGTTCAGCAGTTCGAATCCCTAGGGCTGCATAACAGGGTGAGCTCCTATTACGTGTCCCAGCTTCTACCGACCTAGCAGTTCGAAAGCACATAAAAATGCAAGTAGAAAAATAGGGACCATCTTTAGTGGGAAGCAGGGATGCTATTCAGCATGTTCTGACAAGTTCTGGAGAACTGGTAGCGGAAATTTTGAGTAGTTCGGAGAACCGGCAAATACTACCTCTGGCTGGCCTCAGAGTGGGGTGGGAATGGAGATTTTGCAGTATCCTTCCCCTGCCACACCCACCAAGCCATGCCCACAGAACCGGTAGTAAAAAAAAATTTGAATTCCACCACTGGTGGGAAAGTAACAGCGTTCCGTGCACCTTTGGTATTTAGTCATGCCAACCACATGACCATGGAGACGTCTTTGGACAGTGCTGGCTCTTTGGCTTTGAAACGGAGATGAGCACCGCCGCCTAGAGTCGGGAACAACTAGCACATATGTGCGAGGGGGAGCCTTTACCTTTACCTATATAGGGTATAGTATTAATATAGAGTAGACTATAATAATATAATCAGTTTGCAGTCAGAATAGTGCTGGAAGGGACCTTGGAGGTCTTCTAGTCCAACCTCAAGCAGGAGACCCTATACCATTTCAGTCAAGTGGCTGTCCAGTCTTGTCTTAAAAACCACCAGTGATGAAGGACCCACAACCTCTGAAGGCAAGACCTTCCACTGGTTAATTGTTCTCACTGTTATGGAAGTTTCTCCTCAGTTCCAGTTTTTTTTTCAAGGCCCTCTCCATTCCTCTTGCATAGCGACAAATCAGGACTGCAATGGGACAAGTCAGGTGGCTCAGTTGCAAGATGCAGTCGATGTAGATGGGATGAAAATTGCAATTGGCCAATTAGGTTCCCTTTGAGAAAAGAAAAAAAGGATCAATTGCATTCAGGGAAGGGCAATAAACTATAATTCCTGGGGTCTCAAGTTGATATAATGGATTGACCATTATTATTCCTGTGTTTCTAGAAATTAATCATAGTCTGTAGATTTGTTGCCGTTTTAATACATACTCAGTCTTTGGTTTCTTTAGAATGGAACATGAGGCCTACCAGCTGGAAAAGCAGCATGTCCATCAAGTCTATGAAAGCACAGCCTCTTATTTCAATGACTTGCAAGGCAAAGCGTGGCCTCGCGTCCGGCAGTTTTTACTTGAACAGAAGCCTGGCAGCCTGATTGCAGATATTGGTAAGTTCTGGGTTGTTGTTGTTGTTGTTGTTGTTTTAAAAAAATAAAGCTATTCCATCTCTCTGAATGAGATGGAGGAAAAGAAATGACAAGAGAATCACAACTGTGTGAAGAGCTCATAGGCAGAATGGCAGGTTGGGATGTGTTGTGACCCCGGCCCCGGAGGCTGATTTATCTTCGCATGCTGATTCGGAGGATGATATGGAGGAGGAGGAAGCTGTCACGAGCTATGTGCCAGAGGGGCCGTCTTCACTGGTGAGTCAGCAAGAACTGACAGTTGCTGATGTGCCTATGGACCCCAGCCAAATTGAGGAGGAAACAGAGGCCGGTAACGACGAGGGGGAGCCCCTATTGGATGCAAGAGAGAGACGTAGGAGACGTCGTAGAGAACAGCTATTGCCACGTCCCAAGAGGTGTGGTCAGGAGACATAGGGCCACACCCTACAAAGTATAAAAGGGATGTGACTGGGCTGGAAAGGCGTGGTGAACAATTTGTTGGCGTTTTGGATGCAGTGGAGTTACAGCTGTTAGTTTGGAGTTTTTGACAAGAGTCTGCATTCCTGCATTAGCCTGCTGGCCGTCTGCCAAGACCTTTGGAACATTGCCGGTAACTATTGGACTGATATACGCTTTGGAAGAGAACTATTTATTAAAGGGCCAGCTTCAGTCTCTCTAGCCTGTGCTTGTTACTGCCAGGCTATTTGAGCCTTTGCAAGGCCACTCGTGGGAGGGGACAGAACAGGATGTGGGTAGGAAAACGATCGGAAAAACTTCTTAATTCCTTGTTCTGAATGATATTGATCACCAGAAGGTAGGTATTAGTTGGGGTGAAATGCTCCCGGTTCGGTCCGGTTTGCCCAAACCAGTAGTAAAAAATTTAAAAAAGAAAGTTCCAACGATCAGCTGAGCGATGCGCTATTGTCAGACCCCCCCCCCCTTTTTTTTACTTTTTTAGCATTTTTTTTACTACCGGTTCTCCAGAACCGGTTGTTAAAATTGCTTTTAAAAAGTAAAAACAAAACAAAACAAAACAAAAAATGCCCCGACGATCACAGCTGTGCCACTGTCGGAGCCCTTTTTTTAACCTTTTAAAAGCATTTTTTTACAACCTATTTGCCCAAATACGTTGTAAAAAAATGCTTTAAAAAAGTAAAAAAAAAAAAAAAGTTGGCCATGCCCACCCAGTCACATTACCCCCCACCAAGCCATGCCCACAGAACCGGTAGTAACAAATTTTACATTTCACCATTGGTATTAGTTGACTAGTTTTTCTTATTTGATCTCCTCAGATATAGAAAGCCAGAATGGTTCAAATTCTCTCTGAGGAAATGAACTTTTTATCTGTATGTACTTTAGATCAGGGGTCTCCAACCTTGGCAACTTTAAGGCTTGTGCACTTCAACTCCCAGAATTCTTTGCTGGCTGAGGAACTCTGGGAGTTGAAGTCCACAAGCCTTAAAGTTGCCAAGGTTGGAGACCCCTGCTTTAGATCATATAGGATCTACGTTGTCTAAAGCACAGGAATGTTTCTCTCCTTGAGGAGTAGAAGTGAAAGTCATTTAACATCCTTCATCCTTTGTCTTGAGGGTCCATTTTTGAACCCTACATTCTTCACACAGAGCGCACAGAGAGATCTGATGATGGAAACCAATCCAAAATTGTTGGTGAATGTCTGTCAGGCCTCCTTTTTATTGTCAAGACTCCAGTCCATTTCCAGCAGGGAGGGGTGTCTAAGTTCTTTCCCATCATCCCCCCCCAAATTAGAAAACCCATCATTATTCCTGATGTTCAAATGAAAGTGGAGAAGTCCTGGGACAACTGCCCAAGTTTTAGGTTTAAAGATGTTCAGGGGAGCTAAGTAGGACTCTGTTGTGTTCGCCATGGTCATCATCTTTCTGATTTCTTGGTTTCTTCTTGTACCACAAATGAAAGCAATCAACCTCACATAAAAATTCTCTTTTTGTTTGGTTTAAGGTTGTGGGACTGGAAAATATCTTGATGTCAACCACCTAGTGTATAATCTTGGATGCGATTATTGTGGCCCCTTAATCGAGATTGCAAGAGATAAAGGCTGTGAAGTGATGATCTGTGATAACCTACACCTCCCTTTTCGGGATTTGTGCTTCAACGCCATCATCTCCGTGGGAGGTAAGAGATTTTAATGGCCTGGACAGCTGACATAGGAGGAAACACTTTCGATATGCACCACATGACACTACATTAATATTTCCTAATTTACTTATTATAGGAAGATTAGATAATAGGAAGGCTTTTTGGCTTTTTGTCAGTCCAATTCAGGGATTTTATATAAACATTCTTGAAAAACCAAGAAGGTGCGTTACTGAGGTTACTGAGGAAAAAAAAACCCAAAGAATATTCTGAGGATGTCATTTTCTCTGGGTAGCTAATTTATGAATCAGTCAGTTTTTTTTCCCATTGAGAGAACATCCAGGGAAACATCCTACACCTCCTTCCCGGAATTTCCAGTTGAAAAAAGTGCCCCATCCCAGTAGAAAAGAACTGATGTTTGGAAATTTTAACCAGGAATGTTTGTCAGAGTTCTTTGCAGCACACAAAAGCAGACTATTAAACAGGATTCAAATGTCTTTATATACATAACAACACACAAGGCGTACAATGCCCTTGTACGTTTTTCCACGTTGTAGAGAAGAGAAATAGCAAGTACAAACACAGCGCAAAATGGAAGCACAAAATGGAGAAGGCAGAATGGAGGAGGGAGAAGCTAGTGCCTTCAAGCTTATATACAGAATAGTTAAGCCACGCCCAGGCTCCTTGCTGTCTGAATCAGCAAACAGCCCCCAGACCTTGGCTGACCTTGTTGCTATATCCTATTCCAGTTCATGAATATATTCTGACAATGTTTCTCTTCATTTTATTACCAATCTTTTTTAACTGACCTTATTTAGGTATGAGCAAACTCACAATCTTGCAAAATAAACATCCATAAAATGATTCCCCTACGCTTAGAAATCGGGAGGGGGCACAGAATAATTTGCTTGGGCTTGGAAGGAGCAAGAGGATGCAATGCTTTGTTGATTAGAGAATGTGATATATCAGTAAATTAAAGAGGTGAACTGCCTGGGTACATAGCGGGCAGAACTGAATTAGAAACAGCTTTAATTGTAAAGCTGCAACAACATGGGAAAATGAGAAAAAGGGGGGAGTGGGAAAATGGGTTACCCCTGACAAAGGGAAAAAAAGGTTGTTAAGGAATCTAAGCTACAATATGCATTTTCGCCCCATAAAAACTGGCATCTGCAAAGATGAAAAGTGCATTAGACATGGTCATCTGAATCGTGGTGGCGCAGTGGTTAGAAAGCAGCATTGCAGGCTAACTCTGCCCACTGCCAGCAGTTCAATTCTGACCGGCTCAAGGTTGACTCAGCCTTCCATCTTTGTGAGGTCAGTAAAATGAGGACCTAGATTGTTGGGGGCAATAGGTTGACTCTGTAAACTGCTTAGAGAGGGCTATAAAAAAGCACTGTGAAGTGTATATAGTCTAAGTGCTTATTGCTATTAGGTAAAATCTCAGAAAATAGGTGCCATGAAGTCTTCCCCCCCCTTTTTTTTTAAATTTGATTTATATGCCGCCCTTCTCCGGAGACTCAGGGCGGCTTACAATGCGTTAAGCAATAGCCTTCATACTTTTGTATATTTTATACAAAGTCAGCTTATTGCCCCCACAAACTGGGTCCTCATTTAACCTACCTTAGAAAGGATGGAAGGCCGAGTCAACCTTGAGCCTGGTAAGATTCGAACCTGCAGTAATTGCAGGCAGCTGTGTTAATAACAGGGTGCTTTAAACCACTGTACTACCAAGGCTCAGCATTTGAATTAGCTTTGCAATGAAAAAGAAGCAAGAAAGACAGGATAATAAGGTTCTGTATCAATGTATAGTATCTACCAGTATGTTCAGTGCTTTGTTCCAAAATGGAGACGTGATGATAAAATTTAAGAGAATTAAATCATTCCCATAGCCTGAATTTTAAACTTTTAATATAATTGAGATGTATTTTGCATGTGTATGTTTTTAGTTTAGTTTAGTTTCCTGTTTAAAGTTTATTTTATTTAGTTTCATTTTCATTTTTCCATTAGTTTAACATGAATCTTTTTTCACCCTATAGGTTTTTCTATACAATTGGTTTCCTCTATATAGTTTTTATTACAAAATATACATACATATGTAGCTATTTTGTATATATACAATATCACATATTAATAGGTACCATTTTTTCAAGAAATGTTAATCTTTTAAAATTTTAATTAAAAAAAAGTTTAAAAAGAGGAAGTCTCTTTTGATTCAAGCTTGCTCTGGTAACCACACAGACATACCAGTAATATTATTATAGTTAGTCACACAGTCAGCCAGATGTTTTGACTGGATTTGGCATTTTTATCCACCTATCGAGTTTTTCCCAAGGACTTGAGACAGGCAGATGTTCTTATTTGATGGTGTTAAAGGTACCATTGCAGGATGTAAGCTGTTCCAAGTAAAGCTGCCTTCTGCAATTGACTGATGGTGATGTAATCTATGCCAATGGTGTATTATTAATATTTTTGTAATAATATTAATAGTAGTATTGCTGTTGCTAGTGCTGCTACTGGTAACAAATGGAAGCCATATGCTATTATCTTCTTACAGTTTTCTTTTCTTTCTCCTTTTTTTTTTTTTAACTTCCCAGTCTAGTCCATAGCGGCATTTCTGTAGATCTCCCATAAACCGAAAATAGAAGAATTAAACATATTTTATGAGTTGGTTATTATTTTTTTGCCCTCTAATAGTGGTCAAAGTTATTCTTCCTTTTTATCATGCAACATCGTAGAACCAAGAATTAATTTTGAAAATACCGAAAATGCTTCCTAATGAACAATGCCTCGATTGCATGATTATAAAGACATTTAATTTAAGATATGCATATCCCTAACGAACACGTTTCCTCTTCTTTTTTCAGTGATTCATCATTTCTCCACAAAACAAAGACGAATCCAGGCAATCCAAGAAATGGTCAGGGTGCTAGTACCAGGTGGCCAAATGATGATTTACGTCTGGGCTATGGAGCAAAAAACCCGACATTTTGAGAAACAGGATGTATTTGTTCCTTGGAACAAAGCCTTGTGTTCCCGTTTGCTTTCAGAATCCAATAAACCCAGGCCTAAAACGGATACTGCACCCCCTATAGAACCTCAGACGACGCACTCAAAACCCCCGATGAGTTCAAAATGCTGCCAGCCTGCTCCCCTTGATCAGAACCCCCCTCTGAGATTGGGTAACTGCCTCTCTGGATCCTGCTGTGTGAAAATTTCTGAAGACGAAGAAAAAAGATTTTACGGTGCCCTGGGGAGATCTTTTCGTTCCTGGTTTTCCTCCCGATCTCTTGACGAGTCTGCCTTAAGAAAGCAAAACGAAAAGATGGAACCCTTGAAGGATGTGGTGGGTTGGACAAGCAACGCCATTTCTGTTCAGCCCCTCAGGCACTGCAGCGTAGACTTAGGGTGTCACTCAGCACTGCTGGAAGGACGACAGCTAGATCACTATGACGACGTGTTTACAAAGTGTGTGGCCTGTAAACAAATCCAGTGGCTGGCAGCTTCAGGGTCCCTGAGGGATTTTGACGGGGAGCCGGCTACCTTAGTCCAACACCGCAACGGGGAAACCTCGTTTCTAAGGAATTCTGTGGAAAACGTCAAGAATAGCTGTAGCCATCAAAGCAATAGTCACTTCTTTGCAGGAAAACCCTTCAAAAGGATTTCATCCGTTAGCTCTAGCGAGTCTGTGGTAGAATCAGCGGTGGCGGTAGGAGACTGTGCGGTTAATGGACAGGACGCCAGAGCCTTTATGCGCTATTACCATGTTTTTCGCGAAGGGGAGCTGTGCTCTCTGCTGGAAGAAAACGTTCCTGAGGTTCGCATAGTAAGTTCAAGCTATGACCATGGTAACTGGTGCATTATTGTGAAGAAAACAATATGCAACAGCTGAAAAGTTAGGCTTTCCGAAGCTGCGATCGAAGGAATGTTATACATTTTGCCAGCCTTTTAATCACCTATTCTGTGTGCACTGGTACAGTTTGAATACGAAGATGCCACTATGAAAGAATAGCACTTAACAGTTTGTTGAAAAACAAGCTTTTTCTTTCTTTTTTCTTTTTCTTTCTTCTTCTTCTTTTTTTTTTTCAAATACCCATCCTCAGTTGCTTTTTAGGAAATTTGGGAGTGAGGTGTTTTGGGTTTTTTAAAGCATTTTATAAATAAAACTTTTTACAAGCGAAGGAAGGAGACATTTCTTCATTCCCCCTCCTCCCCCATCCCCTGAAAATACAGGTAGTCCTCGACTTACAACCACAATTGAGCCCAATATTTCTGTTGCTAAGTAAAACATTTGTTAAGTGAATTTTGCCCCGTTCTATGACCTTTCTTGCCTCAGCCGTTAAGTCACTGTGGTTGTTAAACTAGTAAGCGAATCTGGCTTTCTCCCATTGACTTTGCTTGCCAGGTGGTTGCAAAAGGGAATCATGTGACCCTGGGACACTGCGCCCGTCATAAGTATGAATCAGTTGCCAAGCGTCTGAATTCTATGTCTCCATGGGGATGCTGCAAACGGTCGTAAGTGTGAAAAATGGTTGTAAGTCATTTTTTTCAGCGCCGTTGTCACTTTGGTCATTAAATGAACTGTTGTAAATCGACAATTACCTGTAGTATCTTCCCAATGAAATGGCAGTACAATTTATGCTTTACTCTCAGCTTTTTTGATCAGAAATTTGGTGGAATACACCTTTAATTTTTTTAAATGCTCTTTTAAAGAAATCTTACTATCTAAATAGACTGCAGAGAACTAACAGTGCAAAAGTGCACTAAAAAAAATGAAAGCTACTTCCTGTGGAATTTTTAAAGAGGTGAGGCAGAAAAGGCCCAGATACCAAAAGAGAGCAAAAAGAACTGTCCAGAAAATATCTGCAGGAAAAACAAGCAATTAATCTCTGTAGAAGAGTTGCTGATTGCAAATACTCAGCAAGAATGTGATTTCTAATCTGTAACTGGAGTTTCACAACAGCCATAGATAGTCCCCGTTTAACAAGAGTTCAGTTATGATGGTGATGAAAAAATAACTTTATGGAAAATCGGGTATAAATGAGGGAGTCCCACTCGTTCACCCCCGCAACAGTGTGACGTCACTGCCAGAAGGACCAAGTTGCTGGTCCTAATTATGGCTGCTATATGAGATCTGAGCAAATTTGGTGAATGTTTCTGTCTAAAGCAGGGGTCTCCAACCTTGGCAACTTAAAGACTTGTGGACTTCAACTCCCAGAGTTCCTCAGCCAGCTTGCTAAGGAACTCCCGGAGTTGAAGTCCACAAGTCTTAAAAGTTGCCAAGGTTGGAGACCCCTGGTCTTAACGTGTTATTGGATGAGCAGCAATATTTCAAACACTCCGAAAACTTAAATTTTCCATAGGCCTCATTCAGTGACAATTTTCTTTGTGTTTCCAAACCTACATAAGCTGTGATTAGCTTTCAGTAGGATTTAATGAAACGAATCGACTTCAAGCCATATTCTATCAACATTGTTTTCCCAAACCTTACTTTTAGTGCCAACCACTTTGGCTTAAAATCTGCTACCTAAAAGTGGAAGTAAAAAATTTCCCATCTTCCCTGTGATGCCAACTGAAAAAATTAGAGCTAGAGGAAGAAACAATTCTATGCCTGTATCCCTAAATCATTGTTTAGTATTATGCTCAAATAGTGTCTTTCTTTGCAGTGAATTAACTGTGTCTTAGAATATCCAAACCGTTATCATTGAATGTCTATTTTAGATTTAGTTGTTGCACCTGCTCCTTCAGTGTATTCAATAACAAGTTAATCTGAAAAAAAGAAAAAAAATCTGTTTCATATGAGGTCTTGATGAACTATCTAGTAACTTAAACCAGTTATTTAAATTCACAGGATAAAACTACTGATTTTTTTAAAAAAATGTTATCTGATAGCATGTCATCAGATAACACCCGATTTTATCTGATATATAAGAACATTAATTACAGATAAGCAGTTCCTAACACCTTAGTTTAATACTGGAATTTTGTACCCTTTGAAAATAATTGTTTCTTTGGAAGGTTGCTGTTTCAAATAGAATGGTTTTTTTCCTCCTGGATAAAGCTGGTGAACATTCTAATTCAAAGGAAAGATAAATAGAGGTTTACAAATATAGTTTTAGTTTCAATTGGAACTATTTCCCCCCCTCTGGTGAACCAATAAGCTGACCAGAGTCACTTGATAGTGAAATGGGTGGCATATAAATTAAATAAATATGTAATCTCTATCTTTATAATAGGGGAAAGCCTCACTCCCTAAGTTGCTTTCTGCTATATAATATTACTGATTTATTAATATTTTTTTGACTTCTATTGAGAACAAACCCAACTTCTTCGGAATAAACTTCAATTTTTTCTTAATCTGAAAACACAATTGATGCTTAAAGTGTCTAATTCTAATCAAAACTCCGGAGGTTAGCTTTAAAGGGCAAGTGGCTGTAAACTATTGAGTTCGTGAGGACTTTCCAACAGGCAGGATGCTACATATATTAAAAACAGGGTGGGAAAAGAGAGTAGTTCAAAATTAGGCTGAATATTGAAACCTTAAATTTTGTATTTTACAGTTGAGTTATAACTGAGACAATAGTCTGAATGCAAAGCAGTTCAAAGGAAGCAAGCACGAGCTAAACACCCAATCTGTAATCATTCCAGTCTCTTATTTCAGATAATCTGGAAACCCTCTGATTGATTCCAAGAAAGATACCAACTAATTGCAGTTTGGGGGATGAAGTGATCTCCAATTATCTCCAACCATCATGATGGTTGCTTTGTCTAGACTAGGCCTGTCCAACCTTGGCAACCGTAAGACCTGTGGACTCCAGCTCCCAGAATTCCCCAGCTAAGGGAAATCATGAAGTTGAAGTCCACACGTCTTAAAGTTGCAAAGATTGGATACTCCTAGAGTCTAGAATTATACTAACCATGTTACTACATTCTGGGTTTTTTTGTCAGAATGGCCTGGGTCTTGTACTCGCACTATAGTTGGCAGAGTTTCACTCACCTTTCATCCACACAACAAGCTGAGAGAGATTATCCATATTCTTTTTCAAAGGAAGGTTTTGAATTGAGTTCCATTCCTGGTGAGAGCAAGAAAGTGGTTCATCATTGCCTTCTGTTGGATGTTTTATCAAATCACCAATCTAGAGTAGAATCCAGGGATTTCATGATGGGCTCTCACCTAGGTCCTCACTATTATGCTTGGCTTTTTCAAGGTCAGATGATCAGGCTTGGCTAGGTGGTATGAGACCATTTTATTTATTCTACAAAATCAATTTTGTAGAATTTTGAAAGGCTTTGTTGGATCTTGAAGATTGCACTGCCATTCATTATTATGTTTTCTTCATCATAGTAACCTATCTTCCTCCACTTTTTTAAAAAATCCAATTCATGTCATTTTTTTTTCTCTGAATAGCATTCCATTAGAACATGCCTTGTTTTTGAGGCATCATTGCAGTGGGTTATTTCCCGCTACTTCTACATCGCAATTGAACATGTTAAGGAAAACTCTACTTGGAGCACAATCAGCAGAACTACATAAATAATAGTGCTGTGATTCAATTTTTTTTACTACCGGTTCTGTGGGTGTGGCTTGGTGGGCAGGGTGTGGCTTGGTGGGCGTGGCAGGGGAAGGATAGTGCAGAATCTCCATTCCCACCCCACTCCAGGGGAAGGATACTGCAAAATCCCCATTCCCTCCCCACTCCAGGGGAAGAATACTGCAAAATCCCCATCCCACTCTGGGGCCAGCCAGCCAGAGGTGATATTTGCCAGTTCTCCGAACTACTCATTTCCGCTACCGGTTCTCCGGAACCTGTCAGAACCTGCTGAATAGCATCCCTGTTGTGTATCCGTTACTTGGGTAGATTAATTGCATGTTACAAGTCAAACATGGGGATCCAAAGATGGGAGAAGACTTCAGTTTTACTGCTTGTTCATGCTAACTTTAAAAATTAAATCTGGTCAATATATGTGTGCCAAAGCAAAAAGATGTTTTGGATCTGTTCACAGCTGGCCAGTTACGGAAGCATTTAACTTCAAAACCAAGAAAACAAAACCGAGTTGACTACGTCACCTGTTAAAGGAGAACAGATGCAAAACAATCACAGATTTCCTTTCTACTCCCTCCCTATCAGCTCAGTTGGAGCAAAAAAAAAATTGATTCAAAACAGGTTCTGCTGTTTTGAAACCATTTGAGTTGGCCCCTAGATGCTGCATTGTTTAGTTGGGACACATCTAAGTTATTAACACTCAGAAATCCTGCAACTCAGAAAAGCCCCAAATAGCGGGGAGGGGGAACATTGAGTTTTAGAAATTGGCATAGTATAAGGATAATAAGCTGTAAGGTGTTGAGTGCCTGGCAATTTCCCCGATACTTAATGAACAGGAAAGAATCCCTAATACACATTTAGTCAGGGGATACGCTATACCAGTGATGGCTAACCTTTTTGCCGTCGCATGCCAAAAGTGGGGGGAGAGCAGGGGGTTGTGTGCACGTATGCCCACACCCAAAATTCAATGCGCCCTACCCCCTGCACATGCACACGTGACCCCTCCGCACTCCCCCCTGCTTTTGGCATGTGATGGCCCGGTGGGCCTGGTAGGCCTCTTTTTCAACCTCCCCAGACTCCAGAGGCTTTCTAGGAGCCTGGGGAGGGTGAAAACAGCCTTCCCCACACCCTGGAGGCCGGAAACTTCCCAACTTCCGGTGGGCCCGAAAGGCCCAAAAATGCGCTGGAGTTGAGGTAGGGCAAAGCTCACGTGGCCACAGATACGGCTCCGCATGCCACCTGTGGCACACGTGCCATAGGTTCACCATCACGGCTCTATATCAGTGATAGCTAACCTTTTTGCCATCGCGAGCCTAAAGTGGGAGCGCAGGGGAGTCATGCGCGCATGTGCCCACACCCATAATTCTACGCATCCCACCCAGCTGCGCATGCGCACACGGTCCCCCCACTTGTCATGCGATGGCACAGTAGGCCCATTTTTCGCCCTCCCCAGGCTCCAGAGGCTTTCTAGGCGCCTGGGAAGAGCGACAAATGGGCCTTCCCCACCCACCCCTGGAGGCCCTCTGGAGGCTGGAAACAGCGTGTTTCCCGACTTCTGGTGAGCCCAGAAGGCCCGAAAATCAGGCGCCGGAGCTGAGCTCACGTGCCCACCCATATGGCTCCGCGTGCCACCTGTG